GGTCCAGTGAGGTTGCGTTGATCGGTAGGTTCACTGCCCACAGCCGAACGGCATGCGTTCCCTTGGTCTTGTTCTGCGGTCGAGGCATGGCGCATTCATTGTGGCTGTTGTGTCTGGCAAACATTCAGTTCTCATAGCCGAACAGCGTGCGTTCCCTTGGGGTTGCCCTGCGATGCACGTATGAGAGGTCGATCGCGGCTGTAGTGTTTGCTAACGTTCACCGCTCACAACCGAAATGCTCGATGTGCCCTGCCATTGTAGAGACACATGTCGCGTCTATCCGTCCCATCTCAGCTATGCCGGCCAAGCAACTTGCTCCATTGGACAGGTAGGAATTTTGCGAACCGGTGTACTTCTGCACCGGCTGCAGAGTCTTCTGACTGCAAACAAGATTAATAAAACCCTATGTACATTACAAATAGGTAAATCTTTGCCCTACCCGTCAGTCCAAACCTACTGGATCTTTCAAATCTCAGAAAGGTTGCAAGAAGATTTATTAACCACTGTACTCCTGGATCACAAAATGTAGTTTACGGGCGCTGTTGGCTCGGCTGTTTTAATGGGTCCAATATACCCAGGGATTTGTTCTCTTTACAAAGCATAGAAGAATGGTTGCAATATGTTTTGTGTTAATTGGGAATGCATGAAATAATACAGAGTATAACCCACGGTGACAGAGGGATGGCTGAAGTTGGTAGATAGTGGGACGCCTGGGCAGGTTCAAAAGTATGTGTACAATTATACCTAAGAGCGGCAGTTGGAATGAAACCAGGTAAATAAGGCTAGGAAGCTAAGATGGGCACAAGCGTCTGATAAAGCCAGCGTCATATAAAGTTGTCCGGAGCAAACCTTGATACCAATGACGCGAGTTGCAATGAAAACGTAGAGCATTGCATGGGTACTCGCATAGGGTAGCAAATTAATGGGTATCCGGAGCCTCAGTAGGTGGCGCAGATGGCCCGGTTGACTGGCACGTGATCTTGCCATCGACGCTGCGGTTCTCACGGTAATTTTACCGCTTACAAAAATCGGTGCACTAACAGCGTTGCACTTTTAATGCACCTTAAGCTCAAGAAATCTTCGCACGAGCGTGTAAGAAAGCAGTTACAAGACCATTAATTAAAGTTGACGTATCCTGGAGTCTGCGTAGTATATGTCGGTTTTCTAACACTCAGGATTGACCAGAACGCTGAAGGACGATTGTACCATTGCGTAGTCTAAGAATGCGGAATCATAAGATCTGCTCACGTCATTTCAGCACGGCGGCCTGAGAGTATGGTATGTACCACCAGTCTCCTTACTACCAAGCAACTTTGGACTGAAGCAGCCAGCAATAGTTTGCCGAGTGATTTAGAAAAATATCTGAAACAGCTTTTGAGGTGAATGGATGTGACCTTCTCTATAATAGTGCCAGCGCGGAATGCAGGTCTGTAAGCACTAAACACTACGATCCATGGCCTCCAGTGATTTGCCACCGAGCACAGTGCGTGGCCAAACATTGTTCTTATTTCCAATCACTAAATAACCATGACGCTTGAGGTGAATTTTAAAGTTTCGCCTCTATGATTCAAAGGTTTCTAGCGAAGCCTAGATACCAGCCTAACAAGATATGCCACAGTATAAGCTGGACGCAAATTACTCATGGTAACAATTAGCTACATGTTCCAGTACCCTACGGGTGTCGTCGGCCGTGACCTGTTGCAAGGGAAGGCGGATAACTTGTAGTATCCAAATGGGATTTACATTCGTCGGATAATGCGCACTGGGTTTACTTTCCCAGTCCAACATCCTTGGATCGCTGAAGAGGACAAGCTAAGTTTTACCATAGTATACCATAGCATGCTGTCAGAATATCCATCCCCATGGTGCGCCTGCTGTTAAGGCGCCGTGTCACGGCACAGCCCTTCAGCACTAAGGTGAAGACTAAGAAACCACATGGAGTGCAGCAACTAGCCGTTCCAATAATTCCTGCGCCGCTTACCTTATTCTATCAACGCATGGGGTGCAAGCTAAAGGTCTCAGAACAAGCCTCAGAAGTTTACGTTTGTGACAGTTTCCGCATTTAATGTTTGCGAGCTTCATTACAGTGGTGTTGCTTACCCGATGGCACGAACCGAAAGTTTCGGTGGGTGGTTCATGGTTTTCCATCCCTTGGTTAGTCGCCGCGCGATAACATTCTGGGATTGGCTGAACAATCATACTCTTCTTGAATATCCGGTCGGTGTTACAAGCGAAGAATTGAAAAAGATTCGTAGACCTGCGTTACGTTGCAGGATTTGACCTTTTGTCGTAACGTGAGTGCGTTAAAACTACCTAAATATCTCAGTGGTCCCAACCACGGACTGGAAGCATTCGTGTTTCAGTTTCGAGCCCTACCAAGGTCTGATGGAATTCGAGTTCGTTAATGTCTTCCTTGAGGATGAAAACAACTAAGGCTTCCGAGTCAGCCTCCGTACATTCAAAATTGTTGCACGAATTGGCAGTGGAACTCAGTGGACCTCTGAGTTATGTGTTTCAGAAGTAATTCAACAGCTATGTCCTAACTACCGAATAGGAGGCTATGGTCTGCCCGATTTCCAAGTGCGATGATTGACCCTCCGGCTACTTTCGAGGCTGTCAGCTTGACGAAGGTAGTCGTTAAGTTACTTGAAAAATTAGTGCTAGACACAGTGCAGCCACATTTGAATAGGTTTATCCTGCTTAGCATCGAACAACATGGTTTATGCAAAGGATTTTCGTCTCCAACGTACTTGCTGGTAGCTCGTGCGAGCTGAGCTGAAGCCGAAGACAGTGAACATGCGGCGGATGTTGTGTCCATTGGCTTTGCCATGGCCTTTGACACTATCCCCCTTTCGCTACTCTCACTGAAGTCGAGGTCGTATGGGATATCTGGTCATGCTCTCCAGTTGGTGTCAGCTTTTCTGGACAGACAGGAACAGTGTATTAGTGTGGGAAGTAGTCATTCTTTTCGGTAAACTGTCTCTAGCGGTGTTCCGCAAGGCCCTGTCCTAGGTCCGCTGCTGTTCGCAGTCCTGTGCATGAATTGCTAGTAGAGCTTGAGGTACTATCGCTCTTATTTGCGAATGACATAAAGTTCTGGATTATTGTTTATCTCCCTGGAACTCCTGTGGCTCTTCAACGAGCTCTGAATCGACTCTGGGAATGGTGTGCCTGGTGGTTGCTGCCCATACTCCGGGAGAAGTGTTCAGTGATGCGCCTTGGAACGTCCGATTCCTCTACCAGTGGTGTGCTCAATGTGAGTGAACTTCCTCACTGTCTCATCAGGTTGACATAGGTGTCGTCCTCTGATCTACAATACACTCTGGCGACAACTGGAAGAAAGCGGCTGGTAAAAGGTTCCAGATGTTGTGGTTTATCCGTCATTCGTTCGAGATCCTAACAGCTTGTAGATTTGTGAAGCTGTTCGCAGCGTTTGTGCGACCGCACCTAGGAGATTGTGTCCAGGGCTGTCCACCAGGCCTTGTCCGGGACAAAATGGCACTAGAAAGGGTGTTGCATGTCGCTACGAGTTTGATCGAGGGATTACGAGGACAAAACTACCCTGAAAGCCTACTAACTTTGGCGATGCGTTCAATGCACCATCGAAGGAGTAGAGTGGACCTAATCCTAACCTACCATATTTTGACTGGGTAGATTGGCCCTGATTTGTCCTGGCTATTTAATCCTGCTAAATTATCTGGTCACCGTGGTATGAAGCTGGCGAAACCGCGGTCCGATAGAGTTAGAGCGGAGGTACGGTTATCACTTTGAGATATTGAGCTCTGTAACTTGCTTCCGGAAAAGGTTGCCAAGGAAGCTAGGGTTAAGGGGTTTGAGCGTAAACTAGAGGTTCTTGGGTGGCAACATAAAATCTTTCCTTTTTCCTGACTAATTCACATCTTCATAATTTGGTTCTATTTTCTGTACTTCCCCTCACTGTTGGTATTATCCACTTCTTTTAACTGATTCCCCTTACTCTTTACCTTCGATTTTTCTTCCTCTCTTACTTACTTCAAGTAACTGGCTTAGCAGGGAGAGCTATTGCAATGAACGTGGACATAAAATTAATGGACTAGGATGTTGTTCGGATGTTTTCCATTGAGATACATCAGGAAGTAGAAGCAACTCTATAAATACCTGCATCAACGATTCGCACAAGTAGGAACACTTATGGGATCCATCCTCACGTTCCAGTCCCACCTGAACTTGAAGTAAATTGTCAGTTAACGTGTTCCATTTTCATGTTTTGAAATCCCTTATTGTGCGATACTAACAGAACAAAATTACGAATGCACACAGACAAACATACCGCACCCATGATTTTGATTGTTCGCTCTCTATATGGAGATGACCCAGTGTTTCTTTTCCGATCCTAAAGTCTGCGATCCAGCATGCTGACATAACTATAGCTGGAACGACAAGGTGGTCTAATAACTATTATATAACAAAACGAAACCAGCAACGGTGATATTGTAAACTGATATCAAAGAGCAATAGGTTTTCGCTTCGTTATATTTCTTACGGAAGTTAAGTGTCGCAACCAACACTAGCGTTCCAACGAAGTCGGAGTTTACCCCAGAATATTTTCTGTTTGCCAACCAAAAATGCACACATATCAAGATAAAATGGTGTAGAAACTTTAGTAATTATTAGGTATTACTTATAATCGAGCATTTCGTTACCTTGTTTTATCCTTTTGTGAGAGGAATACGCACATATTCATCCTGTTTTTATTGGTTATCGTGTTTTCGCAATGGCCGTAGCTGTCGTTTCCACTTCCGCCTCGGGGACGGTTAGGTCTAATTTAACTAATATGTTTGTAGTGGAATAAACTGTTTCCATCGGATACGAAGACCGAAGTTTATTCTTTAGTCTTTGTAAAGAAGCTTTTTGCAGTTGCAGTGTCTTATGCGTTATTTATAAGACGTATTTTCCCTGAATCTGCATTTTTCGATAAGCAGCTTGACGGTATGTTGTGTTCTCTGATTACATTGTTTTAGGCATTCACTTGAAAATTTTGCGCGAAGACAGCAAGTACCCTGGATCTTCGAAGGTGGTTTATTGGTTGCGTGGTTGTTTTGATGCAATTGACCGTCAATATGTAAGACTTATTTATCTAACGGCGTTTTGTAGCTAAAATCGGCAGTTATTACTCTATTTTCTAGAGGCGAATCAGATGCCGGTGACCCTATGCAACCTTATTCCTCTTGTAAAGTTATCGAATCTTACAACTTCAAGATGCTCTATTCTACTTCTTCTGTTCTTTTTGAGGTTTGTGCTAATGCAGAAAAGTAAATCGCTTTTAATTTGCATATGTTTTAGTAATAATTCTAGACCTAATATCTTGTCCAGGAGCGAGGATGAAAGTGTTAAAACTGCAACGCTGAATCTCTTAAAGACGATACGTACAGCTGGGGAGAAGCTGAGATCTTTGCCTCCTAATATTTACATGACGATGAGATTGCAGTACCATGAAAGTGAGTATCTAACTAAAGTTATCGTATTCATGGATGCAACTACGCTTTCACTCAGTTGCATCATAGACTTCACAAAATTTCCATCCGTTGCTCGTTGGTAATCCACAGTATTTAAAACCTTTTCAGCAGCATGGCGACTTCACGGCACAGGAATTTGATAAAACCCTTATCATAACAACCTATATTTAATGTCGGTCCTATATAGTGTTTTATATTTTGTTAGAATCTTTGATATGCTTAGTTAATCTAGAGATCTCTATACATTACCTACTTTTTTCACTGGTGTGTGGAAAGCAGGAGGTGAGACCCTTGTCAACTCCTTTAATTCTGGTTGCGAAGCGGCGTTCCTCTTGGGATCGCCGCCGTTGCAGTATTAGCAGCAGAGCCTTGCGGTACTCATCAAATGGCAGTGCAGCAGCCGTTTGGAACTTTCCTCTGTTCCAATAATTCACTGCATGAACTGCTAGGGCAGCCTCTGGACGGACGTAAAGTATTAGGCTTTTGTACAACGTCCACTTGTGACCTCGTGTCGGGCCGTCCACGTTGAGCCGAAAATGCTTTTGCACCTCACTTCCAACTTCTACTCTTAGGATCCGTCTGGTGTAGATAAGACCTTCATAGGGCCGACGATAATCCATTGGGGACATGTTCAGCATTCTGAGTGGAAGAGGGTAAGCACGACAGCGACGCTCCATGACGGATTTCAAGCCACGCCGCTAAACTCTTTCCAGCACGTCGCATTCCAACTTTAAGAGAGGATAGGTGGCTGGAAGCTTATACTCCAATATCCGGCGGATATGTGGTGTGAACAGAGTTCTGAAAATTGCCTGGATTGATACAGGAGAACGACTTCTGTAGAGCCCCAGCATCCTGTTTGCGGCTGCGACCTTCCTTAAGGTGCCTTGGAAAGTTTTAAGCTCATGTGACACAATAACCTCTAGATCCTCCTCGTGCAGAACATTCTTGAGAAGATGGAAATTGGGTGTTGCCCAACCGAAAACACTGCACAACCACGAGGCGTTTCGATGTAATTTCATCTCAGCGTTGCCTATCGTGACCCGGTAGCCAAAGGGGTATAGGTTTCGGCTACTATTCCAATGGTCCTGGGATCGAGGCCTGCTGTCTCCACCTGATGAGATGAAATTACGTCGAAACGCGTCGTGGTTGTGCAGTGTTTTCGGGTGGGCAACACCCAATTTCCATCTGCTTTGAGTACAGTCCCAATGATCGCCGTGACTAAGGTTCACATCAATGTGAACCACAGTCCATTACATTGAGATTGCGCGTTGCAATCCAATCACACAACGTGTAGTCCAAACTTGACCATCCAATTCTTGAGAAGATATTCACCAATGTGGTATACGCCGAATGAATCCGAGTTATCAATCGGAAGAACAGCACATTTGTCGTAGTTTACTGGCAATTGCTACTTGACAGACCAATCGTGCAGCTGGTGCAGCGCCGTTCGGAGTCTGTCCGCGTCCTCAAGGCTAGCTACTTCGGACCATAGCTTAAGATCCCTAGCGTAGACTAAGCAGTCGGTTTGAAGAGCTGCAGGGAGGTCATTAATGTACAGCTTGGAAAGTTCCTGCCCAAGGACAGAGCGTTGTGGGACTCCGCTACGCATAGACACAGAGTAAGATAGCGCTTGGTTCATCTTAACTTGAAGAGTCTGATCACTCAAAAGTCCGCAACCCATGCAAGGACGTTTCTGGTGACGCCAATTCCCTGGGGTTTGAGCAGAATTCGTTTGTGTGGGACTTTGTCAAAGGCCTTGCTGAAGTCAATGTAGATAACATCTAGGTGTCTCCGGTTGTCTACTGCTTTGAATTATGCTTTTCTGGCAACAAGCAGGTTAGAGATGCAGGAGCAAGCCCTGCGGAATCAGCAATGTATTCCGTCATCATCATGTAGAATAACGGGTGAATTCCATCTGGGCCCGGTGCTTAGTTAGGGTTTCATGCAAGGAGTATCTTGTCTGTCTCGGGATTGATTTTGACTTGCTTGAGAGGAGGGTAATGCGTTGCCAGATAGTCACTGGGCACCAACGTTTCCACGGAATAGATCGAGGTGTACTGCGAGACTAGAGTTGACCCCTTCGTCATCTTCGTAGAGCGCGGTGTCCTCCTGACAGCATAGAGCAGGGATATCACTGCCAGCCTTGGTGTTTTGCTTCAGGTACGAGAACGGATTCTTCGGGCAGGTTCGTGATTACGTGACTAGGCTATGTTCGTACTGTGATTGCTTCTGGCGCTTTCTTGGAGTGCACAGCTTTCTGCTCACTTTTTGCTTCGAGTAAGCTGATGGTATCTGTGTTGACTTGAATATGTCCCACAGTTTGCGTCGTCTGTTCATCAGGGATCTCACTTCTTGGTCTATGCAGGGGAGCCTTTGGGGAATGGCCTGCTCTTGGTGGTAGAAACAACGTTTTTGATGACCGACATCATCTTCGGGCGTAGTAAGTTCCATGCTTCATCAAGGTTCAGGTATTGTGGAGTGGTCTAGTCTGTGGTGCTTGCCACTTCTTATAAACTGGATGGAACAACAAGCCAGAAGTTGCGACGTCGTGTCCCCTGATCAGGTACGGCAAGGCGGCACGCCTAAATGAAGAAGATTGTAGATTGGTCACTTCAGCCGACTGGTTGTATAATCTTCAGGCCCTGGGTATCAGAGAGCGCTGGTGTGAGAACAACATCCAGTATATTTGGTGTTTGACCCGATTTCATCCGTGTTGGCGCTGAGATGTGCTGGATTAGATTGCATTCCTGAATAGCATCGAAAGCCAGTCTTGAAGGAATTTTGGTAAAGATTATAGTGAAGATAGTTTCAGTCCACACGAGGTGCACTAAAGTCGCCCATTAGCAGCCAGTTCCTTCCTGGACCACTGGTTTTACCGACTATAATAGACGGGCACCTGAGCTCAGTGACGCTCTGTAAGCCATATCGTCTGTGTGCAGCTGATAGCCATCATAACTTCAGCACCACAGTATCTCTGAGGCTCGATCGTTGTCGCAGAGAGCTTTGATAACGTGTGCCTTGAGGCAGGACCTCAAGTAGAGAATTACTCTACCCCCACTGGGGCGATCTGCTCGTGAGAGTTTATATCCTGATATGCTAGCCTCAACATCCTGGATCTCTGTTGATAACCAAGTCTCGGTGAAAGCCAGTAAATCTGGCTGATGCTCACCAATGAGAAGAGGAATCTCGTCGCGCTTACTTTTATGGCTGTGTACATTGCCAACTATCATTCGCAGACCGCTATTTAGACATGGGGGCGGGGTAACAGAAGGATTGGCTACCAGCGAGTTCTCTGGGTTTCCTGAACAGCGCAAAAATCCACAATGTGGAGATCAATTTCGCCGTTCGTTCGGCGAGTTTGCAGTTCGTTGACGGACTATCTCCTTCTGACTATCTTCTGAGGAAATGTCCTTCAGAACAAAGAAAGTTTCTCCTTTGAGACGCCAAGTACTCTTGAGGATGCGACGATATTCATCCTCATCCTGACAGACGACTTTTAGCGGGCGAGTCTTAGATGGATCATCCTGCTTTCTACCTAGAGGGAAAGCAGAGACGATGTTGATACCCTGCTCGCCTTCATCGAATAGGATGGATACCATCCGCCTCAAAAAATCCTGATCGTCAAGCATCCTTTCAGCTGATGATTCTTCGTCGGATTCAGGAGCATGCGTAATCATTAAGCAACGCTCACAAGGTGTTTTGTTTCCTCCTGAGAGGATTGACTTTTGTGGGACTGGCTTTTCTGTAATGAGCTCTTCAAATTGGGTAACTTTGTCAATAATGAGCTCCAGTCGCATTGGATTACATTTTTCTTTATGCCTTGAAACGGCTTTATTCCGTTTGTCATTTGACCGGGTTTCTGCAGCTTTTATACCCGCCACACCAACATAAGTCCTCGTCTTTATTTTTGGCTTAGTTACATCCAACTGGCCTTTACAGACGCTAACCTGCGTTAGTAGTGCACCCTCTGAGGAAGAGGTGATCCGGCTTCGACTTTGATCTGGATTGCCAGGACCGACGGGAAACAGTGTTCCCGCCAAAGTTGTGGAGGAGGTACGGCTTCTTTTCCCCTTGGGCGTAGAGTAGCCAGACCCGGGCAGGCACACAGATGCAACAGGAGTTTTGCAGTCACTGTAAACAGAGCTTGTTTAGGAGCAGTAGGTACTTTAATGGGGCGTAACCTCATCAGAAGCTTTTTGTTGCTAACCACTGCTAGACGCGGGTCGCAATAAAAGCTTATACCGTTGAAAGTATTGTGCTGAAGATAGTGGTAGAGATCTTGACCAATGTTACAGCACCCTATGTGCATTAAACTTTTGCAGAGGGCGCATTGGACGGTCTTCGAGCTGGAGGTGACACCTATGCCACATTCAATGCAGTTGGACGTCATAATTTCGGAGAAAAAGTTAACAACAGTCAAATTTTTTGCAAGTGTTTATTGGAACACTTCTCTGCTTCATATACTGAAAGAATTTGACAAAAGTCAAATTCTGTTTCCATTGTTTATTCAAATACTGTTTTCATTAATATTTCGGAACATTTCGTTATTCAATTCTTTTGTGAGGTAGAGTACTTAGTTTTTTGATGCACGTATTCAGATAATATTCGTACGGTAAAGGTGGCAGCAATGCTCTAGCTCCTTATACCGACGCACAACTGCCACATAAACATCGATGGTTACATGTTTGCTAGCCAGGTCCCCAGCACCTAGGTAAATTCGTACTCCTGACCTAAAAGTGACAAGCTAAGCGCCTGAATCAGTTCACCATTTACAGTAACACATTTGCAAAACGTGTGATATGATCGGCATCTAATTGTACGTAGATAACATCCGCGTAAAGCCGTCGGGGCGGATCTATTTGTTTCCCAAAATTGCCCGCCGTGTCGTTTTATTATAGGTATGGCGATCCAATTTAAACAAGCCAGATGAACGCTTGACACAGTTTTCTACACGCGCAAACTAGAATAGGATAGAATTCAGT